ATGTTGATCTATTTTGTCTCTTAAAGTCCTCATATGAGTGAAGTCATATGATTTTTGTCTTTGACTAATTTCACTTAGCATAATACCCTCCAGTTCCATCCATGTAGTTGCAAATGGCAAGATTTCATTCTTTTTGATTACTGGGTAATACTCCATTGTGTATATATATATATACCATATCTTCTTTATCCATTCATCCATCGATGGACATTTGGGCTCTTTCCATACTTTGGCTATTGTTGACAGTGCTGCTATAAACATGGGGGTGTCCCTTCGAAACAGCACACCTGTATCCCTTGGATGAATGCCTAGTAGTGCAGTTGCTGGGTCGTAGGATAGTTCTGTTTTTAGTTTTTTGAGGAACCTCCATACTGTTTTCCAGAGTGGCTGCACCAGCTTGCATTCCCACCAACGATGCAAAAGAGATCCTCTTTCTCCGCATCCTTGCCAACGTCTTTTGTTGCCTGAGTTGTTCATGTTAGCCATTCTGACAGGTGTGAGGTGGTATCTCATTGTGGTTTAGATTTGTATTTCCCTGATGATGAGTGATGTTGAGCATTTTTCATGTGTCAGTTGGCCATCTGGATGTCGTGTTTGGAGAAGTGTCTCTTCACCAAATGACATAGCTTTCATTTCTTTATGCAATTGGTTTATTTCTAGAACTTCAGTTTCATTCCACTGGTTTTTCTGTCTTTGACCTAGTATTAATCTTAGTTTTAGGCATTTTTTATAGGTTTTAATAACTGGTAGAGCTGTCTTCTTGCTTCTTTTCTTGGAGTTTTTCTATTCTCATTTGTTCTTCCCAATGAACTTTCTAATCAGTTTGTTTAGCTCCAAAAAGTAACTTATCATTTCATTCCTTTTAAATTTACCAATTTACACAGGAAAAACTAGTACCTTTATGATACTGAGTTTTATTATCCGAGAACAAGGTATGTATTTCTATTTGTTCAAGTCTATTTTTCTGTCTCTTAGGAATGAAAACACTCATAGGTTTGGACATTTCTATCGCCTGATATAACTTTACCGTGATATTGTGGATCTTCTTTAGGTATTACACTTTTTCAATCTATGGCCTCATCCTTCTTAGGATGAAATTTCCCATTTATGGTTTCTGTCTTAATTTCTGTAATAGGGAAGACCTCTTGTGAGCCACACATAATCAAATTCTAGATTAGATAATCAGAAACCTACTTAATTATGAGTACCTTTCCCCTGGTTGCTCAGGGACCATTTCAGTGAGTTAGCAGCCTCATGGTAACACTTGGATTCCTGCTGTTGCTCTCAGATACCATTATTTCCAGGTCTAGATTGTCCTTAACAGGTCAGGATATTTTACTACCATGGGAAAGACATGAAAAGAGTGTATAACTTGAGGCTATCTACTCTTGGTACTTAGGCATGCTATGTGAGGAAATGCATGAAACATTGGTACTTCTACAGAGGACACAAAACCGAAAAGTTACTTCTGTCAGAATCCCAAAAAGATAAAGTCATTAGAGAGAAATTGAGCCAGATTTGATGCCAGTAATAGTCTGTTTGAGAGAAGCTTTTGGATTTTTGTATGTAGTATATACAAAAAGTATACCTCTTTTCCTCTGTACTTTGTGAGGGAGAGTCTCTCTCACTCTCTCACAGACACACGAACGGTTCCCTGATTTTTGGCAAAATGATAGTTAAGATTAGTGTTAAGCTTTCTTATGTCTTCTACTTTTTGCTTGGTACCTGACACAGAAACCACTGAGATGAATCAGCGTGTTCAGAAAGTCTAATTTTTGTATATATAAACTGACTTTTGACCATAAAGCTGATCTTATTTCTTTGCTTGTATTAAGTCCTTGCTTGAATGATTTTACATTTGTCTATCCTATTTTCTCATTTGTCCTTCTTTCCTTTACCCCTCATCAGTGGTTACTCTATAGGGAGAAGGAGGCAATGGAAGGAAACGAAGGTTGGAGAATGAGTTGTGTAAAGTCTGGGAAAGAAAGTACAGGGGTTACCATTCCTTCCTGAGTTGATTCTTTGTGTGTGGCCGTCTTGTATAGATGGAGTTGTTTATGCCTGGGGCCACAATGGATATAGCCAGCTTGGGAATGGGACGACCAACCAAGGCATTGCTCCCATCCAAGTCTGTACCAATCTCTTGATCAAGCAAGTGGTTGAAGTAGCTTGTGGCTCACATCATTCAATGGCTCTGGCAGCTGATGGAGAGGTAAGTGCCCTGCTTTTATTCTTTTTTTTTTTAAACATTTATTCATTTTTTGATAGAGACAGAGCGTGAGTGGAGGAGGGGCAGAGAGAGAGGGAGACACAGAATCTGAAGCAGGCTCCCGGCTCTGAGCTATCAGCATAGAGCCCGACTCAGGGCTCAAACTCAGGGACCGTGAGATCATGACCTGAGCTGAAGTCGGACACTTAACCAACTGAGCCACCCAGGCACCCCTATTCTTTATTTTTAAATTGTGGTAAAATACACATAATATAAAATTTGCTGTCCTAGCCATTTTTAAGAATTGTGGAAACCAGACCTCAGGATTTGTGAGGACTGCTTTCTGCAGTGGCTTTGTCATCTGCCTGGATTATTGCCATGGTCTCTTTAACCACTTAAATGGTTAGGATGGCAAATTATATATGTATATATTTTTATATCCATTGTGATTTATCGAATGTCAGTTCAGTAACATTAAGTACATTGTTATGTAGCCCTCACCACCAGCCATCTTCAGAACTCTTTATTTTGCAAAGCTGAAGCTGTACCTCCTGAATGGTGACTCTCCACTCCCAGCACCTGTGACCACCGTTCTGTCTTCTGTCTCCATGAGTGACTACTCTAGGGACTTCATATGAGTGGAATCATACAGTGTTCGTCTGGTTATGACTGCCTTATTTCACTGGGCATAATGTCCTCAGGGTTCATGCATGTTGTAGCACGTGACAGAACTTCCTTCATTCTTAAGACTGAATAATATCCCATTGTGTGTATATGCCATATTTTGTTTGTTCATCTGTTGGGTATTTGGGTTGTTACCAACTTCTGGCTATTGTGAAAGTGCCTTTTAAAAAAATAAAATCGGGGCGCCTGGGTGGCGCAGTCGGTTAAGCGTCCGACTTCAGCCAGGTCACCATCTCGCGGTCTGTGAGTTCGAGCCCCGCGTCAGGCTCTGGGCTGATGGCTCAGAGCCTGGAGCCTGTTTCCGATTCTGTGTCTCCCTCTCTCTCTGCCCCTTCCCCCGTTCATGCTCTCTCTCTGTCCCAAAAATAAATAAACGTTGAAAAAAAAAAAAATAAAAATAAAATAAAATCATGACCATATTTGTATTTGGTATAGTGTAAACATAGCAGCCCTGTGCACAGCTAAAAACATGTGGGGACACACTCTTTTTCTGTGTGATCAGGACCACTCTTTTGATAACAGATTTCAGCCTCAAGGCAGTTGAGTCCCCTGCTCTTCGCTAAGACGACAAATCAGATGTGTATGACAGTGTTCTGTACTTTTGTTTTTTTTAATGACCCCCATCAGTTAAGGTCTGTTTTGTTTTCAGTAATAGTAATGATGTCATAGAAAATAACTTTACCAACATTCCAGTAGGTGCTGTACCCCACCAAGTTAAGGTTGCTCATCTTATTGATTCTACCTTCTAATATTTCATCTCATTTTGTTTCTATTCATCTATGTAATCATAGGTCAGGTCTTGCTATCTGCCTGGGCTATTGCCATGGTCTCTTTTGTTCCATAGCATTTTATTTTTATTTTATTTTATTTTATATTTTAGTTCATTTCATTTCATTTATTTTTAGAGAAAGAGAGCATGAGCAGGGGAGAGGGACAGAGGGGGAGAGAGAGAGAGAGAGAGAGAAAGAAAGAGAGAGAGAGAGAGAGAGAGAGAGAGAGAGAGAGAATGAATCTTAAGCAGCCTCCACATTTAGCATGGAGCCCAATGTGGGGCTTGATCCCATGAACCATGGGATCATGACCTGAGCCAAAATCAAGAGTTGGACGCTCAACCGACTGAGCCACCCAGGCACACCATCTGTTTTATTCCGTAGCTTTTTGATTGGTCTACCTGTCAAGTATCACCTCTGTGCCCCCTGTGATTTCTGAAACAGAGATCATACTGTTCTCTTGTTTAGAATCCCTCAGTGTTGTTAACAGTGATTTTACTATGTAGGACAGGGTATGGGTGAAGAAACCAGAGAAGCAGAGGGAGATAAAGGTTTCATGGCTAGGATGTGCTAGACCTACGCCTAGCACCCAGGTCTTAGGCCCTAAATCCACTGTTTGCCAGTCTGTTTTTAGTTAGTGGAACCCCAGTCCCCGTTTTTAAAATGAAAGGCAGCTGCGTTACAAGGGAGCTTGGGATATTTGAGAAGTGCCAGAAGAATGGTTGGTTAAAATTAGAATTCCCTAATTTGTACAGCCTGGATTCCTTGTTTATTTTAACTGTAAGTATATGTTACTTTGGAGAATTGTGCTAAATATTTGCATTATTATTGTAGATATTCCTGTGAATCCACTTTGAGGAAGTTTTGCAGTTATTTCTTTGTTCCTGTGAAATGAACCTATAGTGCATATTCTTTTAAACCCCAGCTGTAGGTTTTATTATTGTCGCCTGGGGCAGTATCAGACAGGTGAGGGGAGACAGGAAGTGTGACACAAGAAAGAATCATGGAAGCCACACCTCATGATGTGTGAGGACCACTTCCTGCAGGCAAATGAAAGGGATGGGTCCTTAGAAATTCTCCTAGTCTTGGAGGAAGTAATTGCCTGGGCTGCCAGCAGCCCCTCCCCTAATTCTCTCTGGTCACACTTTTGTTTGATAGGGTCAGTTGGTAATTAACTTGAGGTGGTTTTTTGTTTTTCATCTTTGTTACTAGATTTTAACAAGCTCAAAGCTCTATCTCTAGAATTCTGTGTTTCTAGAATTCTGGTTTTCACACTATGGCAAATCACAGGCAGGATGCATTTGAGGAGGGGAGCTGCTTAGAGCTGACAGGCAGCAAATGAGAACTGAGAGAAAATAGAACCAAGAATAACCTAACAACCTGGTGTCATCTCCATAGGGACAAACATCTCTTGAGTACTTGTGAGCCTTACCGTATTATGACAGACACGTAACTGTGATTGATAATTTTAATTGTGATGGTTGTGGCTCATCAGGAAAGGTTATATAATGTTCAGTATTGGTGATTAGTGAGACAGGGAAAACGCATCTTACAATTTTGAAAGCTTTTTGTGGAGGAAAAGAAAAAAAAGAAAATCTGTGCCCAAAGAGTTAGGCACATTTTTCATATCACTGCTGCTTTGTGGTATGTACTTTATTTCCTGTTGATGGCAGATTACAAAATCATGTATGGCTGCTATAATTACAGAGGCAGTGTAGCATGGTGGTTAAGAGCACAGCTAGACCTTCTTGGGTTCGGATTCCACGTTTACTACTTATTGGTTGTAGAACCTGAAGCAAGTCACTTAACCTCTCTGTTTCTATTTCCGTATATAAAATGGGGGTGAAATAGTATCTACCTCAGGGTCACCCTACAGGATTACTATAGGAATTAAATAAAGCTAACACATGGAAAGCATTTGGAGCCATGTAGCACATTGTAAATACTCATTAAGTGGGTTTATTTTTATTTCATGATTACTTATGTGCATCACAGCTAGAATTTTCACCCTAATGCTAATAATTCTTTTCCCCATGTCTTGTATAGGTATTTGCTTGGGGGTATAACAACTGTGGCCAGGTCGGATCAGGATCTACAACAAATCAACCAACTCCTCGAAAAGTTACAAACTGTTTACATATTAAGAGGGTGGTTGGCATTGCCTGTGGTCAGACCTCATCCATGGCTGTTCTGGACAATGGGGAGGTGAGCTGTCTCTGTACTCTCCCTTCTCCTCACCTCACCTGTCTCACTGAAGTACCTTTTCCTTCTTGAGCATGTATGAGACCATGGAAGGAAGAGTGCTTTGTTTCTAGAGTTTCATTGATAGTTAACTGGTTTCTGATGGAGGAATATCTGGAGGGTGTTTGCTCCTCACTGTGAATTTTCAGATGCCAAGATTGATCTGCAAGTAAGGATTCCAATGTGTCTAAAATTTATTTTTTTTGTGAGATCCAAATAGTCTAATGTTTGTAGGTATTTGTGATTTAATGTAATAAAGAGTTTGACACTAGTTGTTTCATCCAATGAAAAAATCAAGTGTGCAGTCTTTAAAGGTAACTGATGATTTTTAAAAAGTTTACTTTTTTGAGAGAGAGAGCATCGCAGGAGGGGCAAAGAGAGGGAAAGAGAATCTGAGTTTTTTCTTGTGATGAGAACTTTTAAGATTATTAGCAACTTTCAGATATGGAATACAGTATTACTAACGATAGTCATCATGCTGTACATTATGTCCCCATGACTTACTTATTTTATAACTGGAAGTCTGTACCTTTTGAGCCCTTTTACCCATTTTGTTCAACCCCCAGCCCCCACCTCTGGAAATCACCAATCCGTTCTCTGTATGTATGAGCTTGGTGTGTGTGTGTGTGTGTGTGTGTGTGTGTGTGTGTGTGTGTGTGTGTGTTTAATTAAAATACAGGATTATTTTAATAACAGTGTTCCATTAGTTTCAGTCATGTTTGTCATGCCATGTTTACCAGAGTGTTAACTGGCTTTTTTCATCAATCCTGTTGTCATCTTTGATGACTTTAGAATTTCTTGGGCTAGTCACCAGACATTCTCCATCCTGGTATTCTTTACTTGTTTATTTTTAAAAATATACTTAATTTTAAAATTATTATTATGTGGTTATTTTCACAAAGGAAAGCAAATGAAGCATGTAAAATAAAAAGCGAATACCTTTTCTCCAGTCTTGTTAATAGTTTGACGTATATCCTTTTGAACTTTTCTCTATTATAAAACAATTATATATGGGTGAATATAATTATCTTTTATAAAGAATGGGATTATTATAGGTACTGCTTTTTTCTGCTATTCTGCACCTTTCCTGCTTAACAACACATACGTTTACCTGAATCTATTATCAGACCATTTATAGCTGTTCTCCATTATAATGGCTCCTTACTTTTCCTTGTCTGGATCACCCACAGCCGAAACTCTACTGATGGAAATTTCAGTTGTTTCTAAATTTTTGCTGTTATAAACATTGCAGCCCTGAGTTTCTGTGTTACTGTGTGTGTGTGTGTGTGTGTGTGTGTGTGTGTGTGTATCTTTTGTACATTTATGTAAGTAGTCTATAGAATAAGTTCCCAAGAATAAGATTCTGTGTTAGGGTGTATGCCATTAAATTTTTTGATAGCTGTAGTCAAATTTCTCTGCAGAAAGTTAAAACCTTTTGCACTTACGACATGGAAAGTGCATTTCACCATCTCTTGCTAGTACCCTAAATTCTATATCCCTCTTTCCTCTCTGTCACATTGCTCTGAAAAACCCCATCTTTGACTCCACGAGACACCTCAGGTTTCTCGTTTGGCCAGACCTTTAGTCTGTTCCTGCTCAGTGTCCCACACTTGCTTGTTCTAAACCTTCACCACCGCTGGCAAACCTCTGTCCAGCTCGACTACTTTCAGCTGATGACGCCCCTCTCCAGATATCTAAGACATTGTGTTACGTCTTTTAACCTCTTTCCTGTCCATTCCCTCTCTCTTGGTCCCACTGTCACTGCCTTAGTTTCGACCCTTGTCTGAGCTCATTTGCTACTGAATGGCTGTCCTGCCTGTAGTCTCATCTAATCTGTTCACCTTTATATGCCGCCAGCAGGATCTTTCCAAGTTGTGAATATTAATCTGTTTTGAAATATTTCTGTGGGAGACCCTTACATGCATTCTACTTTTCCCTCGTGTGTGTTTTGGCACTTTATCCCTTTAGCCCTTACTTTTCCTTCTAGTCTTTTTTTTTTTTAATTTTTTTTTTTTTTAATGTTTATTTATTTTGGGGACAGAGAGAGACAGAGCATGAATGGGGGAGGGTCAGAGAGAGGGAGACACAGAATCCGAAACAGGCTCCAGGCTCTGAGCTGGCAGCACAGAGCCCGACGCGGGGCCCGAACTCACGGACCGCGGGATCATGACCTGAGCCGAAGTCGGCTGCTTAACCGACTGCGCCCCAATTCCTTCTAGTCTTTTGTCCTGCCACTGTGCTGGATGTGTCCCAGCAGACCACCTCCTCATTTTCAGAACCTGCTTCCAGCACATTCTCTGCCCTCTCCTTGGAATACTTTACTCCCATTTATTGATCCTTCAGCCGTGCTCAAATCTCTGCTCTCTGAAAAGTCTTTCCTAAACTTTCTTCCTATAGCTAAGTCCTTTCTCTTCTCTGCTCCTGTAGTGCCTTGATTGTATCTCTAGAATAGCACTCGCCTCCTGGCTGCAAAAAGTTTGCATGTGTCCATCTTTCCTGTTAAACTGCGGCCAAAAACTTACTCCTAGTGCCTTTTATCATGTCCTGACATACAAAGGGTGCTTAATAATTGTTAAGCAACATCAACTTCCTCGTGTGTAAAGCAAGAATAAATGACTTGCCCAAGGCTATCCAACCAATAAGGTATGGAGGAGGAACTGATGCCAAATTCTGTTATCCCCACCCCCAAAATAATCTTCCATTTGGAGATCCCCAGTAGGATCACATAGAGTAGGAATATGGGCGTTTGGAAGTGAAAACTTAGTTGATTTGTTTAGGTGGACGGCATTTTTGTATCTTCCTTCTTACTGTTTTAAAAGCCTCTTCTCTCCCTTTCTCTCTCTAAGGTGTATGGCTGGGGTTACAATGGCAATGGTCAGCTAGGCTTGGGAAACAATGGCAATCAGCTGACCCCTGTGAGAGTGGCAGCTTTGCACAGCGTGTGTGTGAACCAGGTACGTGTGGTGGACTTCACTGCTGCTCCCGTGTAGCTCCCCTGCTCCGACTCGGAGAAACACTGGACGTTTACCCTTCAGTAGATCCTTTCAGACAATGCCGCATGCCTTCATCCTTCACATTTGAAATTCTGTCTTTCCTAAATTCCCATGATGAGAAGGAACACCATGCTGGTGACACATCAGTCTTGGCAAGTAAAAAAAAAAAAAAAACTATTGGGG